TTCTTTTTTATTATTTTAAATAAGTGCAAAGTGGAAAATTGTTTTTTGTTCTTTGTTTTTTTTTTTTTTTCAGATGAGCTGTGCCCCCTCCCTCTTTAGGAAAATGTGGGGTTTTCCTATAATTCCTTGAAGTATTCCTATTTTGAGTCAATACAGTGTCATTTCTGGCACCGTTTTCAGCCATTGACAAATGCTTTTTTCAGCCATTCACATTTTGCTTTTATTATACTGAGCTCTCCTACTTTGTACAGAACTTATTTAAAACAAAAACAAAAAACAAAACCGGAAGGAAAACCAAAACCCCAGGGGAGAGCTGTTCTTGGGAAGCTGTTTGTAGCGTAGTGTTTGATGGACCAGAAGCCAAGGACACCTCTGGGCACCCCGGAGCTCCAGCGACTGTCCCTGTCCTTGCTGGGAAGTTCTGGGGGCCCTCTCTTTGCACTCAGCGAACCCCTGGAAATTGTTTAGTGGAGGTGGTGGTGCCGTTAGAAGTTTTGCATACAGAGAAGATGGTGAAGTAGGTAGGAACTGTTCTTCCTTAATCACTTCTTGTAACCTCCTAAGAAGTACTTAATGGGTTGCCAAACCACATGGTGGAAAACACTGGTCTGTGTTGTCTGTTCTGACCGTAGTTACGCTTTGCCTCCCTCAACCTGCTACTTTAGAGTATGCCTATAGCAAACCTCACAGGGTTATTGAATTAGCAAAGCCAGCTTTCTAGCATCTTCCTTTAGCTCATCTATTTGTGTGATTTAAAATTTAATTATTTTATGATTGTTTCTCAGTGTCTTAATTGATTTTTCACAAACGGCTACTTATGAGCTAAAACCAGTCCTTGCTGCCAAAGTACTTAACCATGTTGTACTTGCTTTGTTAGTTAACTTCTGAAGCTGTCGCGAAAATTAATCCTTTCACTTACCACTCGCCATATAGTTACTACCCTGTCCCTACACCAGATGTCCTTGCCTTAATTTTTCCTGGTGGCCCAAACTAAAGCATTCCTGGTCCTAATCCTTAGAGCTTCCCACCTTTTACTCCTTTATGTTCCTTTGCCATAGTCTCCTTTTTTCTCTCTACCTTATGGAGAGGCTATGAGTCTGAATAAATTTATTTTGGTGGCCTCTCCTTGTCTTTCTCCCAGGTGCTCTCATGCTAAACCCAGCAATCCTTTCCCAACACTTACCGTACCGAGAATGACATCACCTTCTTTCCTCACCTCCTTGAAAGCCATTCCTAGAAATTTGCGTGGAGATTTTTAAACTGTGCTTGAAACTTTTAGAAGAAAGGGTTTTGGATGCTCTAGCTTGCAGTGCAAGCAGGTAGTCCAGCCAGCTTCCCCTTTCTTCTAGTTACAAGTGATAATAACTAAGCAGGTCATAAGGGGTGTCGATTGGCGTGCCCCACAATGTCAGGCCATATATCTATTTACAGGACAACTTATTATTGCTGTTAGCCTTTGCCTCCCATTCTCATTCTGCCTGATGCATCCACTTTTCCCCCACTTGCCTGAGAACAGATTTCAAAAGGACCATTTTGTATATGCATGATTATGTTAAATCCTTGAGCTTTCTCTCAGGCAGTCCTCCCATGTGGGTTAGAGAATTGCCTCACACAATAGCAGAAAAAGGACTGCAGCATCTCGTCTGCAGGCTGTAAATTAACTTCATGGACCAGGCCACACTGTACTTTGAAGTTGTTGCTTTTTATATTGTGAGCTTCCCCCGTTTAGACTTCAAGAATATAAATCTTAGGAAGAATTATCATAGTTTAAAAGGTTTAGACAAATAACAGCTGGTATTAGTTCGTGGTCTCCAATTGGTTCCAGACATCCCTGATTTTGATAAGGCTACAAGACAATCCCAGAAATTCCCTGCCCACAGCTTTTGCTAATGCCATTAACTGTAACATCATGATTACTGCTGCTTTTTGGAGCTGATTAGCTAGCATCCTGCATGTCTGATAAACACTGTAATTTAATCATTTCTTCAGAATGTCCTCATGTTGTACCCCACTCCCCATTGTTACATTATTTGAAAATGCATCTTAGTAAAAATGTGGATCAGGATTTTGAAGAAACAAATGAAATGCCTGTGTTCAACTTGCTTTCAATGGGAACAGGATGCTCCACTCCAGCAGCACCCAGAGCAAGTCTTGTTCAGTTCCTGAGGTGCTCAAAGTTAGGCAGTCTCTGTACCCGTGGAGATTTCACCCCAAAGGGATGCGCTCCACATCAGTTTGTAGCTTTTGGCTGTGTGGAAAGCTGACAACACGTTTTCGTTCTAGTTGGATGTCAACACACAGAGAAATAGAATTCCCTGATGCAGAAGGTGCTGGAAAACAATACAAAGTAGAGGATCAAATCAACCTGGGAAAAAATTATTGTTACTCTTTGGGGCATAACGGATGCATGTTTTTAGTGTCTGTTTTTAGTGTGTGAGAGATGAGGTGAGGAGGGCATCTTCACTAGGAGTATATTTCTGCCCTTTCTCTGTGGACTTTTGTGAGTTGCTCTCATTGTGATCTTTTGTAATCTCTATCTTTTATTTTTAGAATATTCCTTGAAAGATTTTTTTTCCTATTGGAATTTCACAGTCACAGATGATACAAAATAGTATTTTTGTCTTCCCTTCCCTTTCTTCACTCACAATGCCAAAAGGATTGCTTCTTGCTCTAGCTGTAACTGCTGCCACAGCTTGTGAGCACGTGTGTAAGGAAGCCAGAGTAGATAGCGTCTTCATCAGTTGCGGTGCAAGCCTTAGCACCGTTTTGTTAACAGGGCCTTTCACATTCTTGTATTGCTCCACTTTTTGATTGGTGAAAGTAAGAGACTTGAGTCTAAACAGAAACGTAGTGCACTGGCTGATAAGTTCCCTACATGAAAGGAAAAAGGTGCTTCACCCACGAACCCAGACATTTCTTGTCCCGTTCGCTAGAGACTTCCTATACTGCCTCCACTTACAAGATAATTTAAATACCAAGACAAAGAATTAAAAAAAAAAATCCACTACCATGGGAAATGGTAATTTCCCAGCTCAATAAAGCCTGACAATTAAGCATTTGGAGAATATAGTATGGGGTGTGTTTCAAGCAAGCCGTAATCTATCTTTTCCTTAACAGTTCTTTAAAATTGATTCGTCTGGGAGGCTGGTTGTCTCGCGCCAGCATGCCTGTAGCAGTTCGTGCCCTGTCAGTCATGTTTCTGCTGGTAATAATGTTCCTGACCTCCCGTGCAGGTGTCCGCAAGTGAGATGTACTCAACTTTTAAGAACCTGTGCAAAGCTAGGTGACATACATCAGCTGTAATGAAGAAACATCTCAAAAGTAAACAAGCAGGTTAGCGATGACAGGGGGAAAAAAGTTTCAAGAGAGCTAGATGTAGTTTAAAACAGAAAGAAAAAGCTTCTCACAAGAAATTTAGAGTACTAGTTGCTTTATTTTCAGTGAATCATATTTTTGTTTGCATTTCTGGCTCTGTCACTCAAAATGTAATAAGGAGTAGGGGCCCTCAAACACAAAAAAAAGTGAACAGTTCTTTTTAAGCCTCCTCTTGAAGTTCACTACTAGAAAGCAGTGTGCAGGAGAAGCCAGAAGATTTTCTGGAAGACTCTGCTAAGGCAAGATATGTCTTTAATGGTGGTATTTGGCAGCATTTTAAGGAAACTGAATTGATTTTGCTTCAAGATAAGCCTGCAGGTCATGTCATTCACCTTGGGTTTTTATGGTTTTTATCAGCTTGTTTTCTAACTCATAAAGATGCTTGTCCTAATCATGTTTGTTCTAAATTTAAGGTGATAATGTCCTGTACACACAGGGACAAGTAAGATGTGTCAGTGAAAGGTATGAAGTCAATGCACACTCGGCAAAACATGATAAACTTTCTCCCCAACCTTGACATTTAAAAGCTAACATACAGCAATCTGAGCTGACATCTGAAGGAGACCACTGTCAGGGGATTTTAACAATCTCCAGCTTATGTACATGGACTTACTGTTTTTTCTGCCTTCCCGTGCTGATATATCTAAAATTGAACGCAGCTGCCCTTTTCTTTTTATTTGTAGTATTGATCAGTATTAATGCATACTGTACGCTATGAAGCAGATTTTAACTGCAACTACCAATCTGTAAATTGGGAAGATGAAAAACAAAATCTGACTTCTATGCGGTATGTAAAAGTCTGTGTTTTTGTAGATGAGTGTGTATATACACAAACACTGACTTAAAATTTGTCATTTCAGACTTCATTCAGAACTTAACTCATCTAGGTATATATTAGCATCACTTCACTTTCCTGATTTTACATTAAAATTGGCTTAAGGTGTCTGTTATATATGCAGAAATCTGTGTTACATATAGCTAATATTGCTTAAAGGGTATGTATGCAGTCTTGTTTGTGTCCAGTAATACATATTAGGCACATACAACTCATTTTTGCGGTCAGCCTGAGCATAACCATATCTTGCATAACCATATCTTACCCATTAAACAGAAAAAGAACCGTAGATGCTTGTGTAACCTGTATCATCTCCTATTTACAGATAGAGGCCATAGGAAGAGCATGAGCAGAACCTATCAGTGTAGCTGCTTCATTTACTGAGTTAGCACAGCCAGGCTACGCTTTCAGCCAGCTATACAGTCTAAGCTCATAAAAGTAAAGGAAATAAAGCTAATCTCCAAAAAAAAGGAAAAAAAAAGCCTTCATGAACCACACGGTTATGTTTTTATGTAACTGCTTTTGTGGCTGTCAAACTACCCGAAGTTCATGGTATGTTCATCTTGTCAGTATGCATTTGAGACCACCAGCTTTGTTTTATTTCAAGCCATCTTTTGAGTTGTTGTAACACAATATGACTGAATGTGTTTTGGCAGGGAATAACTAATCTAATCCATATACCACCAGATGAAAGTAATTTACTATGGGTTTGTGGAAGAGCTCAAATTTTCAATGCAGCCCGCAGAAACATTTTTTCCCCCTTTAATTGTCCCTCTTTATATCTAAACAGATCCAGCAATGGGAACAGAACCTGGAAAAATTTAACATGGACCTTTTCCGAATGCGATGTTACCTAGCCAGTTTGCAAGGTGGGGAGCTCCCAAACCCAAAGAGCCTTTTGGCTGCTGCCAGTCGTCCTTCAAAATTGGCCCTGGGGAGGCTTGGCATTTTCTCCGTCTCATCCTTTCATGCACTGGTAAGTCTGAATGCACTTCTAGTGGGTGTGTTACATAAGGCCATCGTTAATATTATATTTATATGTGGAATTGTGCTAGGACAATTCACGGTTGCACCCACATGTGCTATCCACACAGCCTTGCTCCCTTCTGCCCGTTCCTTGGCTGCAAATAATTTTCTTTCCTAGGGATAGACTTTGAGTCGGTGAGGTCACGAATCGTGAAGTCATGAATTCATGACTTTTTTTTGGCCTTTGGGAACTCCAGAAGTGGCTGCTTTTGACTTCTATCTAAAAAAGAAACAAAACTAAGTTTTTTTCAGATGCAAATAAGTCAGGATGTTGAAATTTTGTCATTGCAATTTCACCCCCCTCAAGTTCACAAGTTAAAGTACATAGCAGCTAGAGCACTTAGAGTGAAATAAGCATAAAAGTGAAATTTCCAGGATTGATTCTGGACCTGCTGGATGAACCTGATCATTTTTGGATATCTCAGAAGGCTCAATTTTTTGGAAACGGTTTGGTACGTGCTATTTGAAGAGAGAGTGTTTTTTAGAATAGGCCAAAACTGGAGGCATTCCAAATTATAAGTCACTTTTGAGAACTGTGGCCTGTGTTTGCAGAGATGAATGAGAAGGATTCTCAGCTGCCGTAAGCTGTTGTCACCACATTGGCTTCAAGTGAAGTATGGCAATAGTGGATTTGCCTTTAACCTTAGAGGACTGTGAGGCTGATCTTTGCAGAGAAGGGTAGATCACATACGCTATATAAGTCAGACTGAATGGCAGTCCTGAAAGTCAGTTCAGGAAACGTGTTTATTTCTGCCACTGTTTTTGTCTGTGTGGTTTGTGTCATTGCTTGTTAATAACAATGCTGCAGCATATTTATATGCTATATTTGGGAATTCTGAGAGTTTTCTTCCCTCCAGGAATTCCATATCTAAATCATTGGTTATCATGCTTCTGCAGAGTCTTTTCATTAACTTCTTTTGTTGTACAGAGCAATATTTTCTTAGTCCCGCTCTTCATGTGACCTTCTAATTTTGCCCCATGACAAAAAATACGTTCTAACACCAGCCGAATACCAAAAAGAAGCAGCAGAAAGCTTAAAGCACTCTCCTTTCATCTTGGCACGTTATATTGAGATGAACTGAAGTAGCTCTCATTTGATGCCTCACGTTCAAATAACTGTAGCTATTTTGCTGTTATGAAAGTGATATAGGAAGACCTGTCTGTATGTTTAAATAGATCTGCTCCAGGGATGAAGCTGCTCTCAGGAAGCGTACCCTATCTCTGTCACAAAGAGTCCGAAGTAAGAAGGGTTTATTTTCTTCACTGAAAGGACTGGACACATTGGCAAGAAAAGGAAAAGAAAAGCGACCTTCCATAACTCAGGTAGATGTCTTGCTGGCATCTAGGATGGTGAAAGCATTGAAAGGCTTGTTTTTAGTGAGGCCTTGTTCTGTGAGACCCCACTGGTGCGTAGGGTAGGAGCCATCTCCTGTCTATCAGAGTTGCGATTGCAATTTCAATAGACAAGGCAGACTTACAGAGGGAGTGTTTAAGAGGCATTGCTCTATATCTTTGGATTTAATATAATAATTTTGGATTGCTGTGTGATGAGTAAAATTGGTAGTGGGAGTTGTTGACCCAAATGGGCTAGTTAATTATCAGCAGCAGTTCAAGGCCACTGGGTTTGAATTTGTAACAAAACTTGTCTTCTCGCCAGACTGCAAACTATTTGGGAGTAGGGTTTCTGAGGAGATACCCTGTATGCACAGCCTTTAAGACAGTTTTGTACTGACTTACGACTGGGACTCTGAAGGACTTTGCAATTTAAATACAGAATAACACATGTCAGTCTACAAGTGAGGAGAGGAGAAACTGATGCACCTTTTTGGCATAACCTGTTATGAGGGGATGTGCAAAGCAGCATGTGCTGCCTGGAGGTACTTTCTAGCCAAAAGGAGAAGACTGCTGTCCTACAGAAAGCCAATTTGCCTGTTGTGTAGATAGCTGACTAATAAAGCTGTGTCAGTTTACACCAGCTGAAGGCTTGGCACAGCCTTGTCTTGTTGGAGCACATGGGCTCGAGAAGAGAAAGGCTGTGCCAGCACCTCCACTCAGTCTCCTGCATGCCTGCACTGAAGGACTGTGTTGCTACTTAGGAAATCACTAGCATCTCACAGGATCATTTTCTGCTTATGAAACTAATAGCCTGTGCATATATTCAGCGTAAACCCCACACTTTAGGAGTCTGTATTTCCCCAGTAAAAACACAATGAAATGTGAAACGAAAGGTCACAGCCTTCTCCCCTGAAATACAGTAAATAAGAGCAGTGATACTTCTGTGGCTGTTATGCGGCAAGTGTACATATGTACCCACACTCAGAGCACTATTCTCTTCACTAGCCTTTGCCACGTCTGTTGTGTCTACGGCAAAACAGTATTTTGTGCATTGTTCATTAGACAACATTGTTCCTAGGTCTTGTATTTTGATTTTATTTGTCAAAATCTACTACCACTTAGCAATCAAAAATTGGCTGCTGTTACATATATATATAGTAATTTGCTTTTGGAATATTTAAACATGCCTATCGATATACATATTCTAATAGTCCAAGAGCTGATGCTACAGCTTTAGTGTTGCAAAATAACATATCAGGGCTTTCTGGTCAAGCAGTTTATATTCTTAATGGGTAAATATTTATGTACATGCTACGCTGAGAAGTTTTTTGGGTAGCTCTTACGCACTGTAGTGTTTTGATAGAAATGTGTGTATATGATGAAGCTGGATAAGAATAAAAACTCAGGTCTGCCTTATGAAAGAGGGAGCTAAAGGGGAAATTTTCTCCAAATGATCATTTTTTACCCTATGCACTAGCAGATGAGGCTGGTCTCCAAGTCCTACACCTCTGTTCCTCTGTTAATGGTGGGCTTGAGGAAAGGGGTATTATGCTGCTTAGCTCTGTTTCCATCCGAACTGATACCTCTCAATGCTTTAAGTGCCCGATATGTTCGTCTATACACTTTACAGCCCATGCAGGGGATTCCGTTGGCACTCAGAGAACGGCAGATCATATTTCCATGGCGAGGAGAGGAGAGTGGCACTGTCCTCCCTGGTGCTTTTCAGTGGGCAGAGGAGGGAACCCTGGGCATGGGCAGAGGTGCCCCTCTGCAGAGCACTCCTGCCTGCCTGGGCAGATAGAGGGAAAGGCTTTGCTCCACCCTGTTTATTAGAAAACTGGCAACCAGCTGGCCCCAAAAGGTGTTGGTTTTCATCCACAAGCTCAGATTTTTATATTTTTTTTCATTTGTTTTATTAAACATCCTACAATAAAATCAAGGAAATGTAAATGCTGAGTATTGCATATGAGTAACACTGGGCTATGACTCATACCCATAAAAGTGAAGAATTTTTAAGAGCATAGGTTGAAACACTGAATCCACACTAGAAAGTGGCTGAAAAGGGAAGCCACATCATTGCTCAGACATGTGTGCATGCACATAATTGTATGCGTATACCAAAATCAGAATGGGCCCGAGGCTACCTTTCTTGTGATCTCTTTTGGCCCACTGGGAAATTGGGTTAAGCAGAAAAGTGGAGCTTAATTCTCTCCCTGCTGTGCTCTGTCGTCTGCCTCGAACAATAGGTTAAAAATTTTGCATTTTCTTGCTTTCATGAATTCAATTAAAGTTTATTTGACTCAAGCTGGGATGGTGTTATTTACACTACTCTAGCTACAAATTCAGATGGTAGACTCTGGAACATCGTTGTGTCAGAGACATTTTAAATTTTATCTTAAGTTTGATTTTATGTTGTAAATAAAAATAAATAAATAAAAGGTACCGAGTTTCTATGCTGGAAGACTTTTTAAAATATTAATGAAGTGGCTCAGTCTTTTTAGAAACCAGTTAATAAAACCGAACTGTAGCAGATGGGGGATGTCTAGGCTCACATTATCCGTAGTTTCTTAAATGCTTATCTGCTTTCTTGAGTCTAAATTACAGACTGTTTTGAAAAATCATAAGCAATAAAATGCTTTTACTAAATCTGTAGGTAAGACAAGGAAAAGTAAGTTCAGAAATGGTGCCCTTTATTCACATGATCAGAAACAGCATTTCTGTGTTACGTTAACAGAGAGTTTGTCGTTGTCTTAGATTATCCAAAGGCTTTTGCTTAGGATGAAAAAATAATTTTAAAAAGGAAAAGAAAAACCTAAACAAAAAGCTCAGATTTAAGTCTGATATTGTCCTGTTTTATTCACTGCAGAAGGAGATGAAATAAAAGCTGTTTATATTTGTGTTTTGGGAGGATAACATTATTACTTGCAAATCTCAAGATCACGTGCAAATTATGTAGATCTGTATGCATGTTTATCATCAGAATATCAGACTGCATCCTTGGACTTTTTTAATTACATTAACAATCCCAACACCTTTGTGGGATGCTTGTAATTTTGCCCTCTGAACAGGTGGGGAGCTTACGTCTCTGTCTAATTTCTTCATTTCCAAAGCAGACACGGTAGTCAGCTATTGTTACAACTTACTAGTGCTGGTTTTGGGTCAAGCATGCCTTTAAAGCTAAAAGCTAAACTAAAAGTTTTCATTGCTAGTGTGAAGCTAACTGCTCAGGTACGAGAGAAGAAAAACTGTAGAGCTGGACGTTTTAGAGAACTGCAACACTGATTTGAAATAGTTTCTTTAAATAATTATGAGATTTGTAGCTGTATCTATAAATATACCAAAGATTGAAACTACAAGTTAGAGCATCGTGCATGATTTGAAGATAAATGACTTTTATGCTATCACTAAAAGGTAGACAAGAAAGAGCAAGGAAAAAAGAAACAGGGTATGAATGCCTGTGTACATATTTGAATGTGAGCGTGCATATCGTCTGGAAGAAAAGATTTCCTTCAACTTTTTTTATGGAGGGAGAATTGATATTTCTTTCGTACTTCTTCTAGTCAGAATAAAGTGATAAAAAGTGCACAAAACAATCCCTAAGGTTTAGTAGTTTGATATATCTTTATTCATTTAGCTTTCATTTTTACTTATTCACAATAATGTACCTCATACAGATAAGAAATAAAGCTTTAATATTTTAACTTCCTTATTTACCTGTAATATTTTTAATAGATTTTTGATTCAGCTGGAGGGCATGGATTTGCTGGTGCCCAGAATTCAGCTAACTCTGTTGAGGTAAGATAAACCTGTCTTTATTCTTCACCGTTATGTTTTTAAATTCCTGAATATATGTCACTAAGTGTATGGCGAGGCTGGTTCAGAAACGCAGCTAAGGGTCGTAAAACTTAGTGTTAGATGGCAGAATTGTAAGTCTGCTAATGAAACCACTTTAACATAAGTTTCTGACATGCATGATAGCCTTTAAAAAAAAAAAAAAGCTTCTTTGTAACACTAATGCCACTAATGCCTACAGACATACACTGTCTATATTTTTTAGTTTGGTGTCTGAGAGAGACAGAATTGTTTATGAGCTTGGTTGAAAGCCTCTTACTTAGTGGACGAAGCCCCAAGTTGCATGGTTCTGCTTCGCTTCAGATTAGTTCAACAAAACCTGTAAATCTTGGAAGTTAAGACAAATAAGTCCAATTAAAGTCTAGGCAGGAGACCAGCAGAAAAGTGTAAGTTAAGATATCGCTGGATATTGCCCAAGTGGAAAGGAAGAGGTGGTGGTATCCTCTCAGCTGCATTACCAAGCAAAACAGCTGCCTCTGAGTGCCCACGGAAATACATCCTACACAGGAAATGGTAGAGTTATTTCTCATTCCTGCCATGCAGAAAGCAAACCGAGAGCACAAGAATCATGATCCCTCTCAGTTTCCAAAGCATCCCTGGGGATAATATCACCGTCCTGCACTCTGGAAGCAAAGCAAGACGCTGTTTAAATCCATAATCACGTACATGTTGGACCACCAAGTTCTGTATATATACCATGGAGCTTATATAGAATCATTCTCCCTTGCTTGGCTTGTGCAGATACTGTTCAATTAAAATATTCAGATTTAATATTGTGACTTGATTTCTCTCCGTAGTTTCATAATTGTATCACTATTGATTAAGAGGACAAATTCACAAAACTTGAGTTTAATTAAATTCCTCTGGCGTATGGTGTTATTAACATGCCTAACACCATTGGCATAGGATAATTCATGTTTTCTTGCAGATTTTATTTCGCAGAAAAGCAAAATAACTGAATTCCAAATGCCTTCCCCTTTAGAAGGGATAGCAAGGGAGATCCTGAGATTAGGCAGGCTTCACAACTCATCAGAAATGGTGGCTGTAGTGATGGGGTACCCCTGGTTCCTCATTCCCAAGAGAAGATATCTCACAGTGTAAAATAAGGGAACTGTTTTTTGGGGCTGGGGGTGGGGAGTTGCCTGGAGAGGTGACAGTGTTCCCCCACTTCTCATTCTTTGGTCTGTGGAGAAGACCTGTCCATCCATACACGTGTGTTAGTGCAAATCAAGCTTAGGAGCAAATCAGCTGTTGAAACTGAGGGAAATCTGCTGACAGAGCGCTGTACTAACAGCTCAGAAGAGCAGCTGCCGGGCAGAACACCTAGTCCAAAGAAATGAGAACACACCAATGTTAGTCACTGGGTTTCTAGACTGTTTTGATTACAGTATAGCCAGATTCTTTAATTGCGACCTACACCAGACTAAAAGCCGGTATTTGTCTTTCCACTTATCCTCCGTCTCTGTTCCTCATTTATTCCCTGCACCAAATATCACTTTTATGTAGTTTAAAACTTAGAAGAAGACTTAAAAAAAAAAAAAAAGCATGCCACAATATGACACAGTACCCTTTCAGCTCAATTTGAGTACCAAGTCATTAGACAAAAAGTCGAAATCTGCATTTAAAATGAAATGCTACTCTTGAAAATGATCAACTATAATGAAGAGCTGAAATGAATCTCATGAGGGAGGTTTGGACAAAGTTCATCATCTCATTGTGTGTGCGCGCGTGTGTGTGTTTGTGTGTGTACATGATGTGGTACGTGGTTTATTTTCCTATCAAGAGTATTCATTTAATGGCCAAATAGTAAAGCAAAAGCTGTACCACTGTGAGAGGCTTCTCCCACTGGCAATAGCTAAACCTACAATGCTGTTTGCCTCCTAAGAGCGCCTTTGCTCTTTGTGTGTACTTTGAAGAAACATTTCAAAGCAAATGAGTTCATTTAGTTACTTGACTACTTGCCTGTTATTTCCTATCCCATTTGCTTTGCCATGTACCCATGGGATGGGAAAGTATGTATTAAAAATCAGCCCCCTCTGTTAAAGCTAAAATATAATTATATGGGATTTCTGGGTGAAATATCTCCAATATTTGGTGAAATATCTCCAATATTTGGTCAAATATTTCACCAAAAGGTACCATTGGGTATGTTATGAAATTGCATCAACTTCACATCTCAGACATAACAAATACAATTGGTTCCTGCCAGTCCTGTTAAAGCACGGAAAGCTTCTGTCTCTCCTAACGCTGAGGATAGAAAAAATCTCTGAGGTGCAACCCTTGAAGGTTTCTCCTGAAGCCGTTTCATAGGAGCCACTCAGCTTAGCCCCGACCTCTTGCAAGATTGGCAGCTTCACAGTGCTGACTAGCTCAGCAGTGCCTTGTGTAGATCTTGTGCCTTCTAGCACAGCTCACTCTTTCCAAACCATTTCAAGGACAGCTAGAAGGTTTCAAAGGTACAACAGGGGAGGAAGGAAGACATCTCTTTCCTTTGATGCCAAGTCTGAGAAGGGAGAAGCTCTAGCTTCTTCATGCACCTCTCTCAACAGGGTTTATGTGTTATCCACAGTTCCTGGATAAAAACACCTTAATTTGAGCAGCAACTGGGAGCCTCGCTCCCCGTGCAGAGGGCTCTGGCATGAGGACAATGCTGCTGCGATTTTGGGGCCAGACTGGGGTCACCTGGATTCCAGATACTTATAAAGTTTAGCCAGGTTGCTTTTCAAGACTAAAACCCTTGACTGAGGTGCTGAAGTGGAGCTCTCGATCTCAACCTTATTTCTAGACATTTTTTAATGGGTGTTAAATATAGCGTGGGCATTTTTAAGATCCTGACATTCTGATGAGTCATACGACAACTCAGAAGTGATTCATCATAACTCTGGAAACCGTTACTTTGGAATCAACTCAGTTTCATTGGCTGATTTTGAATAAAAATAAAAAACAGGATCAAAACTTGTATAAAATGCTACCTGAGGAGCACAGTAAATTACAGGTAGTGGAGTCTTCCAGGAGGCTATATTTTCCATGAAAATGATCAGGCAAAGGGTGGGGGAAGTTATGAAGTAACCTATTGGTCCTTCAGCAACACCGTGGCCCAACGTGTGACAGTCTGCCAATCCTGGCACCTATTGCTGGAAAATTGGATGGGTTGTTAGAACTTTATGTGGCAATGAATGAACGAACTATTGTAGTATTAGTCACTGCAAGCATAACAGGAAAAAAAATCTCTTTTCATGTCAGATTTTCTGAGATGGAAAATGTAGATGAAGCAACAGTATCTTGCCTACCGTTAAGAAACATATTTTCAGAGAGGGATATGTTTATCTCAAAGCTTATGCTTGAGCACCAGTATACACAACAAAAAAATGAAAACATTTTAGCTTGGTTGCAGAACTATCTATCTCATCCTTAAAAGCTTCAGGGAGGAAGAAGATGGCCTTAAACCTATTTTTCATCACTGTCATCCTCGACCGATTTTTTTTTCTATCTTTGGCAGTAGTGAGGTTTATTTCTATTGGACAGACTTGAAGAGCTACTATTGCAGTACAGTAAACCATTTTGGTAATTACAAACCTCTGAACTGCTGGGAGCATCTTCCTAGCTCAGGCAACGTAGTTTGAGTTTTCCCTGAAAGAAGCCAACTGAGAATTAACAGCTTGACTCATTGCTTTTTAACTCTGGCAGCATGTGTGCCTTGCCCTTTTTCATACCTGTCATTTGCACTGTGGAAAAGAGGTCATCATTTATTCCCAGAAACTTGATTTAGTGCTTTCTGAGAGGACCACAGCTCTACTGGAATTATCTTTTTAAACAGCAGCAGTTTTATGAGCAGACTGGAACAACAGCCATTGAGGTGAAACTTCACTTGCTGTAAATTTCAACGCTCCTTTAATTGCAGTAGCATAACCTGATTCTTGTAAAGAAGTGGCTGTATATTAGTGGGCCTTCTAGGGGCCAGTGCTAATTCATATTTCATTTTCAAGCGAGTTACAATGGGTAGTTGAGCAATAGGTGTATGATTCTTGAATGCCATTAGCTGATTATTATATTTCTAACAAAAACAGCATTACTCTTGCATAAAATTATTACAGCGCCATACTCTGGTTTGGCTACAACCTGAATTTCTGCAGTGTTAGGTAATTGCTTGACTAGGACTGCTTACTATATCTTTTTTACAGCCGCAGTTGTTATTTGGAAAACAAAAATAATATTGGTCGCTTTGTTGCTACTGGTATGTTGTTGTCAATAACTTTGCTGCCTGCAGCGAGGGAGAAAGCACTTGCCATTTAGTGATTTTATTGGAGCTTTTAATTGCAATGCACCATTGGGCTTGTGTCCCAGCAGGGTCAGGGGGAAGACTTGCATAATATGTGCCCGCAATCCCCTCTCAACAAACAAAAGAACCCCCAAAACAAAGAGGTAGGTGTAATTCAGCCTAAGATGCACCATGAGTCACAGCCCTGCCGCTTTAATAGGTTATTGTCCCTTTCCATTGACTGTAAAGGGAATTCACAGAGACTGTGTGTAAACTTAAATGCCTTGATGGGGGCAGTGAGGTGCTATATAGGCAGACCCAAATATATGGCTGAAACACCAAGTTCAAAACAGGTCTCAAAGATTTTCTTCTCCTTATGTGGTTTCCTTTGAAAAGTCTAGCCTGAAATGCATTACAAAAGAAAGAGTAAAAATGAAGAATGAAAAAATAACAAGGATTTTATTTGGGATGGATGTTGTATTAGATCAAGCTGAGTGGCTTTTGAGTGAGTGTGAACGCAAACCAAAATGCTAAACAAGCAAATACTTTACACTGCCTATGAAACAATACGATCTTAAACTGTAAATAGAAGAGGAACACTTCATTCCTGTTTTAGTCTTTTATTTTACTGTTGCAAGTCTTGCTCTACAGTGCTCTCTGCTGGAAGTTTACTATATTATCATTTTCTGTCAGAATTTTAGCAATCTTTGTTTTTTGTATTTGTTAATTAACTAAAAATTGTAGGAGTCAGTTCTTAAGAAATATTGCCCACTGAGATATAATTATAGCAACTATGTATTTTTACGTATAGTTCAATTAACAAGTAATATGATATAAAGAGATGAAAGCCCATAATGGAAATGCAGTGAAAATGTAATCCGTTCTCCTGAAAATTTGTACCGCAAGTCAGCGATGGTGAATGAGAACAGGTAACAGGACTTAGTCCCTTTCTTGCCATGAGAAAGTACACAGTACCATCTCTAAAAATATAATGATTCATATCTGCTGCAAACTACCAGTATAATTCTACTTCTTGTGTGTGTTTTTTTTTATTTTTGCAACATCCACAAAAGTTTTAAATTTATCCCTTGTTTTCAGCAGCAAGTTGATGAATTCTTGAATGTCTACTGCTCAGTGCCAGAGAGCATCCAGAAGGAGAGTGCTTGGGAAACACAAACCTATGTTCATTTTTGTGATGGCCAAGGAGTAGCGTTAACCCTCAAGCCAGAACACAGAGTGGAAGATGTTTTATCTTTGGCATGCAAGGTATTGATTTTTCATGCATGCCTACAGCTAGTCAATAGCTGTGGGATATGAAAGGGATATAATATATCTGAGGACACCTAAAGAACAACAACATAATACCAGCCTTTCCCTGACCCTGTATTAAGGCACATTCTGAGTGTTTGCTCTGTTTCCTTCAGCAGCATTATTTAGGTATTGTAGCCAAGGTAGCAGGGTGATGGAAAGCTTGTCAAGTTGTGTGGCTCAAGAGAGTACACAAAGAATCCTTAAAGAGCGGTGACAGTCTGCCAGGTAATCCGTCCTCAGGAAATCTCAGCACGTATCGGTCTACGATGTCATTCCAACCAAGCTGAGTGGTTCTGTGCAAATTAATCGTAAAGGAATAATGGTGATTGGTTGAGTTAACGCTCTGAGATTGAGATGTTTAAGACTGCTGTGAGAAAGACTGTCGTATCGCTGTGTTTCCTAAAGGACCCTTTTTTACTTCTAATTAGCTAAATTCAAGTTCTGCTTCTGAATTTCAAAGCATGCATTCTGCTGTGAGAGTCAGTGCGGTAAATTTGAGGAGGGTTTACTGTAGCTCTTGTGACAGAATGGAGTCACTGGTTAAAGGTAAAGTAGAAATACCAACCTTAAACGCCTCTAGAGCGTCACAGCTTATTTGGAGCCTTTGTCTTCATTCCTGTCAGTGACTGAATTTGGCTCTGACTTCATGAATCAAACCACTTTTAAGTTATAAAAACAAACCCTTTGGAAAAAATAAATTTCAATTCCTACTTTCTGACAAGTGATAAATAGTTTACTGAGTTATGAGGCTTCTAATGAAGGAAAGTCCCCAGCTGAATAGCTATTTCTACCTTATAACCTTGTAAACAATAAAAGTTTTGAAATGGTAGTAGTTTTAAAAAGTTAGGATGAACTATGGTTTATAAATCAAAACAAGCATGCTCATTTAGTCATGTCACAATCTATCTACATAATGTCACTGAGGAGAAATGATCTTCTCATTGCTTTCCCGGGTGGACTGAATGCTGGAGAAGCTGTTTTTTCCCTAGTTTTACTTCTTAAAAATTGACTGTACCAGTCACGCTGAAGGACGTTTGAGACAGTATTTGACCACCAGATGGCAGAGTAGAGCTGAAACGTTTGGAAGCAGTTCAGGTAGCGTAGGACCCTTGAAAGAGGAAATAAAATTTAGAAACATAAAATTAAGTTGTAAAGGAAATTCCTTACCTCTCTCACTCCATCATTCCTAAATATCTGTAATTGTAAAGCTTATTTTTAATCTTTTTATGTGTGTATCACTTGAAAATTTAGCTTTAAATTATTTGATTTTTTTGTTCTTAAACATTGTTTTATTTTTTCTTTCTATTTTGTGTGTAAAGCTTTTCATAAGCATACTCTAATGCTGAATGCTTTCTGCTCATCTTTCCTGGTTCTTTTCCTTGTTACATTTTCATTCTGCTCCGGTGAGTGTAAGGAATCTTTCTTCTTTAACAGAACATGTTTGAGTGTTATGTGTATAAGGATAAAGTTCAAAGGGTTCTTTTTTTCATTCATGCTTTATGAGGTTTATACTTTTGTCACTTCTGTTCTCCATCTGAAGCCTCTGGGTAGCACATACAGAAAAAATGTGCATTTCAATATAATTGTTTAGGAGATAGTACATATAGAACTCATAAAACATTACACACAATATAGTGCTCAGTTAAGCAGTACTTGCTGAGTAGACCTAAGTTTTGATATGCTAGAGCGAAAAATTTTGTGCAGTAGTCTCACCAGCATCCTGATTTTCAGAGAGACTCCCATCAAGGGCTCGAAATTCAGACAAATGTCTTTTGGGAGTACTCCTGTTTCCCTTTGACGTCCTGTTGAAACTCCATTTTTGCTTTGACCTCATGTTGAAAAAAATAGGTGAAACTCTCTGATCACCTGTCAGACGAAACCTGGCAATAACAATGAAGTCCAATAAAGGCAAACCATTCCTTAGGGAATCTGCTTCCCATCTCACTCCTCGCCTAACAGCCCATACATTGTTCAAAAGGACAGCAAGGCTATGTTAGTCTAATAGCCAACACATAGTGTTTATGAAAAGATTTGGGAGGATTCTAAGAGAAACTGGAAATTGCACTTGAACCATATCTTCTGAGCAATGCAGCTAGTTTTGTTCCTATCAAAAGAATAGTTAGAAAATGAGATGCTGAAGACTGCTTTTGTATGATTTCTAAAGGGCTGTATGTGTGCGTGCGTGCGTGTGTGTGTGTGTTACTTTGTAATCTGGGCTTCTGGAACTAAAAAATGAATTCCAAAAAACATTCTTTTTTATTTTGTAGATGAAACAGCTGGAACCGAGACACTATGGCCTGCAACTCAGAAGACTGGTTGATGAAAATACTGAGTATTGTGCTCCTGAACCATATGAATACATAGTAGACCAGGAAAGTGTGACTCCTTTTAGATAAGGCTCCTTGATGTTTGTAGCTACAGTTGAATTATCACCTATGAATATGTGCAATTTAGATCTAAAATCAGGTTTCAAAGCTGTTCCTGGATTGCATTCTGCCATCCTTATTCACAGAGGGCTGAGTTCCTATTGTGAAGAGAATTAGATTGCTAGGCACTACAAACACCCTCTTCAAGAACGATTTGATGATTGAAGTGGGACTTGTGGTACAAACGTGAAGTGTCAGTCCCTACTCCAGGCTGGAGTTTCCGTGTTTAGCTTACTCTATTTTTAGTCCCTCTGATTTCAGTGATGATTGCAGAGTTACAGTCCTCTTCTTTGTGTAAGGTTATCAAATTTGGGTTCTTTATTGATGATAATAGTACTATGCATATTTCCCATCTTGAATCTTTGGGTTTTGATGCTTACAGTTTCATAATTTGACAAATCGTGTTATTGTTTTTTTTTTCCTAACAGGTGTATGATGAAATAGAAATTTGTCCATTAAATGTTTATCATGTTCATCTTACAAAGACTGAAAGCATAAGTGATTTTGGTAAGTTTAACCAGAACAGCTCCCAGGGATTTTAGTTTTTATTCTTCTCCTTACTCACTTTTCAGAGCTTTCTGTCTCTGAGAGCAGGCAGAGCCATCAGTGATAGCTCAAAAATGGAGTCTACAAAGGACTCGAGCCGTTAGAATGAAGACTTTAACTGGCTATCTGTTTCACACTGACAAGTGCATTTTTCATTTCTCCATTTGGGAAAGATCTACTTTCTAATTCTGCTGTACAGGTCAAATAACTGAGTAAGTATGAAATTGTCAGAAGACAAATGTCCCTTGCCAAGCCAAATACAATCAGTCAGGCCATGGCTGAGGACTGCCTCCTTTTTTTGCTCTGTTGGCACAATATCAGCAGATTGTCCTTTGGTACAAATACTGACAGGTGGCTTCCCCCCCCCCCCCCCCCCCCCCCCTCGTCGTTAAGAGTAAGAAAAGTAAATTTCTTGCAAAATGTGACTCTTTTAGTCAACATTCTGAAAAAGATGAGTAGAGCAGTAGACCAAAAAAAAAGATAATGAATTCAGATAGATAACATACTGTGAGAGAAAGAGAGACAGACAGACAGAAGTGGGGATTTTGGGGCTGCCTTCCACCTGTTGAAGGCGGTGGCAATTTTTTGACTTTGTTGTCATTTTGATTGGGCTTTTAAACAGAAAAGCCTTTGCAATTAAAAGAAAAGCATCACCTTATTTCTTTTCATCCATTTTACTGGTCAGGTCTTATAGTCTACATGGAATAAGTAAACTGCAATTTAAATCTTGCAGTCTTTATTTTGTGGGAGTTTTGCTTCGTTAAGGAGTGCAGGTTTTATCGAAGAGGGAGAAATGAAAAAGTTGAAAAAAGGAAGATGTATTAACTGGGCACATAGAAGGGATGCAGGGAAAAGAGGAATGGGGAAGTAGGAGCTGCATTCCCCTGCAGTTTTGTAAGGCAGATCTGTGCTGTTCTTTACCTGCATGTTTGTTGATACAAATTCTGTTTTCCTGGACCAGCTCCCTGTTGTATATAGATTTGCTGTTGTATAGTCCAGGCTTCCAGTTTTTGGAAATATTTAAGACAACCCTAATCTGATGGAGATGTTACAGAAATCATACTAAACCTGTGTTATTGAAATGTCATATGGGGCTTAGGTAGAAAATATTTTTTCAAAATACAAGTTGTCTTTTTAAAGTACATCAGGACGTTTCCTAGGAGTTAAAGTCTTTAACTGTTTGTACAATGACTGAGACTTTATATAGTCTCTATAATTTATGAGTGTGGTTTCATAAGAAGTTTCAACTCTCTGATTATGTAGAATCTACTAAGTGCACAAAATAAAATGAGACGTACTTAATACAAAGTTTATTTGATTATGCTCTACCTTTAAACTTCCTCTACTTCAGGTTTTGCTGTCACAGCTCAAGTTGATGAAAATCAGCATCTCACCCATATATTTATAAGTGATGTTCTTCCTGATGGACTGGCATACAAAGAAGGTATGCGTCACATTTGTAAATAATACTGTTCTTCATTACTCTTTTAATTCCCAAAATGTGGAGGAGCTTTAACATTGCTGTCTGAAATGGTTCTTGGCTTTTACTAGTCATAGTCCTCTTTCCTGAAGACCATGGAAAGTATGTGATACTAGAAAGGACAATTTACATAGAGTAACTGACTTATCTTTTTAAAACAGTGGTGAGAATCCTTGTTCACCCTTGGAGACAAATTCTGTTCTCAGTAATGCAACCAAGTGTTTTGGCACAGAGAAAGAGTCTGGAGAAATTGTTCATCTTGCCCTGGGGAACCTCATGGCTTTGGTTGGTCTCCAAGACCCATCGCTTCCACTTTTTCTGGCAGTGAAAAGTAGCATCCCTCCCCAAAATAGTTTCCTGCATACTTTTTTTGAGAGCCTATCCTGGAAGCATTCTCTTCTGAGGTGCTCAGAAACTGTATTTCTCTTCATTCGCACAGCAGGGTCATATCAGTTTGTTGTCTGAAAAAGAGAGACAGAATAATTCATCAGGTACCTGGGGGAAGTGACCACTAGGTTGTGGCTGATCTTGAAAGACAGCAGTTGCCACTGTTTAGACTCAGATATTCCAAAGCTCATAAAAATTTCATCTCTTACGATTCCAGTTTTGCAAGACTGATTTGATCTGCTTAACTAGTTCCTTGTGCTTCCCAGACTGAGATAAGCAAGTAAGAGTTATTGTGCTGCATGCTGATGGGCCATCTTTTAAAATGAGCTTGGTGTCTCCGAGTGTTGAGGGATGTCTCTGAGTATTTTCTAAAGATTATCCCCATCCCCATCCTGTAGTAACTGTAGAAAGAAACAACTTGATTGCAGTATCATGTATAACACCTACAGAAGTAAGCATGGGATCCAATTCTGTAATTATGGCACATATAAAATCCCCATCAATTCTAGTGGACTGATTGTAGGACTGGACTATTTGAATTCAAAAACAAAAATAAAGAATGAAACAGCATAAGGTTTGGTTTGTGGCCTTACCACTTTATATTCTCTCCCTTTTTTTTTTTTTTTCTTTCCTTTCACGTGCTTCCAGGGCTACGAGTAGGCAATGAGATTTTGAGCATAAATGGAGAGGTTGTATCTGATCTTGACCTCAGACAGATGGAGCAATTGTTTTCAGAGAGAAGTGTAATGCTCACATTGAGAATTAATCATTATGGAGCTCAGCAACCATTATGTGCTTCATGGTCAGATGGTGACATTTCCAGAGACCCAAAAAGTTTGTTGCCCCCTCCAAACCAGTCACAGCTCCTGGAAGAGTTTCTGGATAACTTCAGAAAGAGCACAGCAAATGGTAAGAACACAACAAAATGCTAATTTTGTTACTTTCACCTCACTTGTCATATCACTATTCTTTTTCTTTTTTAAAAATTCATATATTTTTAAAGTTTTTCTCACACAGCAGAGAGAAACCCAAATTCAAACCATGTTAAGTTCCATTTACACTTCATATCTTTCTGTTGTTACTTTATTTTCTAGAAAATAGAAGTGGAACAGAATATGATCATTTCTGTGGGAAAGTTATAACTTTTTTCATTTTAATTCTTTTGACAGTGCCATCCAGTAATGTCAGTCACTCTTAACTGTTGTATGATGCCAGGTGCTTCCACTAATCCATTTCCCAGGCATCAGTGGTTGAAATGATGTGGCTTTCAGACAGAGGCAGAAGTTTTGTTCTGCATCTAGCATGCTTCACGTATGGCGAAGTACCACATATGTTCAGGGCATCTTAAATATAACAATTATCATCACTTCAGAATGGAGTCATCTAACCCTACTCCCAACCAGAGTTCCCATTTCTAAGGTTTTCCAGTTTAATATAGTCATTCACTGTATAGGAAAACATCTATTAAATCGTCTTTCACTGTGATTCTTTTGCTACCGTCTCCTCATGTCTCTGACACAGTGTAATATCACTGTCCTGAGCATGGATCGGAAGGCATACCCTAAGTGTAGTGTGTCAGGATGAGATCACGATGGGTTTCTACATGAGGAGCACCAGGCGGGGAGGGTGCCAAAAGCCTGCCTAGTAAGGTCGGGGTCGCTCTGACGCCCATCGACAGCGAGGAGGGTGCCGATGCCTGCTGCTGGGATGCTTCCTCAGCTGGAAATAGGTGCTGACATGTAGATGGGGCAGTGCCCTGCTGTGGTTACTGTTCCCTGGGGCAGAGGTACCTATGGCACAAAAACACGCTCAGCGAGACCCAGCCTGGAGCAGGCGTGTAGAAGCGCTGCTGGATTTGTGCAAGGCCGGTCTCGGGCACCGCTACCCTATATATCTGCAGCACAGGGTGTTGGGGAGTGCTGTGAGGAGGTATGTGTGCTGTGAGGATGTACGTCACCAGCTGTGGGTAAAGCTGGTCACATCCACCTGGACTTCTTAGTTTGGGCCCTGAGCCAGGGGGCTCTAGAGCTGACCATTGCAGTCTGAGTGTGTTGGGAAAGCTCAAGTGCAGCAAGACTGGTAGCCCCAGAGATAAGGAGGGGGTAGAAGTGGTTGCAGGGGCAGGAGGAAAGGGGAAGAAGGGAGCAGCAGCACCGGAACGGTGAGAAAGAACAAGATCCAACTGATCATGTGCAAAACTCTATGAGTTTCCTCAAGTGAATCTTGTCAACAAAAAGATGAGGACCCACAGCCCTGGAATTGCGCTGGTCTGGTGAACTCAAAAGAAATCTTTGCATCCTTTCCACTAACGCTCGGAGCATTACATCTTATAATATTAAAATACTTGTAAATGCCTATCTGAAATGAAAAGGATCTGGGGATTTGCTTTCCTTCCTTTCCCAGGCTCGAATATTTTTCAGTTGAGATACAAGCAAATTTAATTTGAGTTTCTTGAATGGAAAAGGTGCAGTATCCTCTTGGTACCTGTGTAAGGGAGGGCAGGAAGAGACACAAAAAAGGGTCTTTAATTTTTATGAATAATTATGGTAGCAAGTGTTTTCTGATTGGATTTTTTTTCATAATTAAAAAAGGGAGGAATAAAAGAATCACATAGGAGAAGTTGTTAGAATGGATTGAATTATAAAACAATTTTATTAGGTCATCTTTTGAAATTAAAATAAATCTGAATACAAGCTTTGTGGTACAGTAAGTAGCATCTCTCTCAGGGGCCTTAGTTCAATTTCAAATGCCATTAAATTGACTATTGGCATATAAAAGTTAGTGTCATAAAACAAAAATTATGGTAGAGCTAATTAATTACATAATTATACCAGAGCCATTATTCAGCTTGTTGCCTTGATATCATAGGCCAGCATTACCTGGAGGATTCAGTATGATAAATATGTAAGCCCATTCACTAGATTCGTCATTCCTCAGGGATAAATTTGCAATCTGTGCAAATATTGCATTATAATAGGAAATTACTGGAGTATGTATTGTACTTTAAGCACTAGTGCATAGAGGGACATAGTATATTTGCTTTTCTGCTTAAAACCAGCTAAGGCAGAATATATATGGTTTCAGAATAAAACCATTTTATTCTGAAAGGGAGCAAATTGTTCTAAATTAAGCTTCGTGAGCAAGACTGTGATGTTTACAGAATTAGCGAGTACTGGTGTTTAGTTACTGATCACTTGATCATGTTCAAATGGAAGCAGAAGAAAGTGCATGGCTTTGAATTAGTAGATAATCTTGGAGGGTTTAGCTGTTCTGTGTCCTTTTACTTACTCAGAACTTGAATTAATATTTTAGATAAGAAGAGAAGGTGTTTAATAATCTGAGCAGGGATTTGGAGCCAGGGATACTTAAATTCTAATCTGGTTGTTGACACTGTTCTGTCTGCTTTGGTGGAGTTGAGTGAGTCAATCCTAAGACCAGAGTTTTCAAAAACGATTTCTGATGTGTGTTTGTCCATTTTGCACCTGAGCTGCCAAGGCAGTGCCTTTGAAAATCAGCTAGTTCCTGCAGTGGGGGAGATTTTCAAAAGTTAAGCACAATTTTTATCAAGGGTACATACCTGGAATTTAAAAACCTTAATATTTCTGCATTCACCTCCTTATTTTTACAAAATTAACTAGTGCTATTTATCTTTCTCAAAATACCATGAAGATTAATATGTTTAAAAATAATAAAGTGCTTGGAAAATGGAAATTCTCAGCACTCAGAGGTTCACATGGTAATATCCTGTTTGCTTAGTGGCAACATCCAGGCAAAAGCAAAACAGACTTTCCTATAAATCACTGGCTTTATATAACTTGGGTGGTAATAGTTTGTCCACATTTGTTTACAGTTTTGTAACTGCTTAGCATAACTCTGAATAATACCTTTTCCCACACATTCTGCTGTATTAAGAATATCCAATTTTACCTTGTGCCAGACTTTGACCGCTTTTACTGTACAGAAGGGAAGTGATTGACTTTCTCCAAAGCCACTAACTGCCGCTCCTAAAAATCACTCCCAGGGAATTTTTTGGAAGAGTGATTCATTTTCCCCAAGAGGTTGCCATACCCTTGCGGCTACGTGTTGGACTTATGTTGCTGCTGTGGTCATATAATTTGACCTCCCACATGGCAATACTATGTGCTTGCTGCTTAGGCACTTGGCTAGTAATAAGCTTATCCTGGAAAAGAAATAAGATGAAACACTTTTAAAAATATACTCATAAATGTGGAAAATGAATTAACGGAGCAATTTGCTCTGAGTTCCAGTGCTAAGGAAATTAAACAGATATTTGTATAGAAGTAATAAAAATGAGGGAATTGAGGTGGAATTCTTACAAATGTGCAGGAAAAAGATGCCTCATTTTAAGATGGCATGGATGTTTGAAGAATAAACAGCAAAGAATACCATAATTTTAGGGTGGCTCCATGTGTGTTAATGATATAGATACAGAGTGCTGAGGCAGGAGGTAGAAGCAAGCATTAGTAGGTGTGAAAACCCATTGCAGAGCAATTTACAGTATGTGAGCTGCTGTCAGAGTTGGGCTTTTTTTTTTTTCGCACAAGTGCTTTGTTTGCCAAAAAAGCTGTCATTTCTGGTTAGCTGACACTGTTGAAATCGACCCTAACTTGTAAATAGTTTGCAGTGAATTTAAAAAAAATTGGAGGATGGCAGTCTGGATATGCTTTAAAAAGCTTCCATGAGCATACATTTTCATTTGGGAGGGCTGGGGAGCTAAATTGCAAGGGAATTATTAAAAAAAAAAAAAAAAAGGAGGAGAAACAGAGAGACATACTGTTTCTTCACTCCCCCTTGCACTCCTTATCTTTGGTGTAGGGCATGTATCTTCTGTGAGCGGTCTAGGTTCCTATCCTGCCTGTCTTTCTGGAGGTGTGGTCCATAAGTAGAGAAGACAATCTGATAGTCTGCTGCTACTGAAAAGGGGAAGGCTTGCTCCTCCTCTTCTGCACTTCTTCTGCTAGCCCTTCCTTCCAGCCACGCAGCGCTGGTCCCTCCCCTGTGCTGGCCTTAGCACTTGCTGGAGCCCTCCATGAAGCAATCCAACCCACTAGTTCAGGAGAAAATTCTTTTTCTGTTTGTTTGTCTTTTTGTTTGTATTTATTTTTCCCCCCTGACTTTCCTGCAAACTCAGTGAGTTGAACTGGCTGGTGCAGAGGTCTGACAAGGGGCAGAGGCAGGTAAGCAGCAGGAGCCTGCAGCTGGGAGCAGGAAGGTTTGTGGGGGCAGAGGTTGCTGAAAGGCGAGTTACTTTCAGTGGCAGCAAGCTGTTTTTCGGCTGACCTTTCCTCAGAGCACCTCTTGCTAACTGTTTTGGACGAAGGCTTTTGCCCTGTGCTTTCCCACCCCTCAGAAGCATACCCCTGTGCCTGGGCGGCACAGTAGTCTTGGGACATGCCTATTTGAGTTGCTCCTAATGAAGCTGTTTCTCTTTGTTTAAAGCAAGCCTGGAGCCAGAGTGTGAAAGTCAGACTTCATGCAGTCTGGCAAGTAGCTATGAGAGGTGCTGGAGAGGAGCAATGATACTTCAGGACCTAGTGTACTTAAAACTGAGATATTTACGCAAAATGCAACTGCTTCAGGAAGGTGATCTGTGGTTTGAACCCTCCCGTGAGAAGTGGCTCTTTTGTTTACCAAGAAAAAACCCGCTTCTGATTTTAATCTTAGTAAACACACCCAGAAGCAAAGCACATCAGTTCACTACAGGTTTGATTTTGCTATGCCTAAGTTCTTTTAAAAAATGTAGTAATATTAACAATTGGTTTGTATTCACTTCCAGGGCTCTTACTGTTTCAAATACCTTTTACATGAACATAAAGAGCTGGATGGTTTCTGTGCCTCTAGAACACTTAATTGCTACTCACAGCTTCTCCAGAAAACGTTGTTCTGTT